ACTCAATTTAACAAAGCAATAACCTCCCTTCAATCATAAAATGGAAACGGAAGTGCATATGTTTGGGAGGCAGCAAATCTTTACTTTAATAAGAATTCAACCAAAATTTCTACAATCCCTTATCCACACAACAATCAAAAGTGAGAAGTTAGCAATTCTTATAAGATTTCAATAAATTTCATTCTCAAACCACTTCAATCGGATTCTAAATATTACGTTGACAACGTGATTTATTCAACCAAAATCCAACGAAGTTTCTTAGCACAATTAGCAACGCAAAAAATTTGGGGTTCTGAAGGAGTACGATGCAACCTTTTCCAAGAACATCGTACAGATTTCTCCCTACTCCAGGTATGTTAAGGTTATACCTTCTTTCTTTTTGGCATGATCCAAATGATACAAACGAAACGAGCAAAATACACAACTTTCATAAATGACTCTATTCATAGANTTTTGCCCACAATGACCGAAAGGATATGATGGGATGCCCTCAGAGGCCTCACGATGTTATGAAACATGTACCTATGCACGCCATGACATTCATACACATATGCATGGCACTATAATCATTTCATGAATTACATAGTTATCCAGACATACAGGTTGAGTCATTTACTTTATATTTCTTCCATGTCTATTATGTACTTATTTATGCGCCTTACATACTCGGTACATTATTCGTACTGACATCTCTTTTGCTTGGGGATGCTGCGTTCCATGCCCGCAGGTCCCGATAGACAGGTCGAGAGCCCTCCAAGTAGGCTATCAACTCAGCGGAAGATGTTGGTGTGCTCCATTTGCTTCGGAGTTGCTTGTTTGGTTAGTATGATTTAGACGTGTATTGTTGGAATGGCGGGACTCTGTCCCGATCTTTATGAAAATTATGTATTCTTAGAGGCTTGTAGATAGATGTCATGTACGTAAAATATTATATGGCCTTATCGGCCTATATTCAGTGTACGAGTGGTTATTTTGATCTTATAGGCCCGCATGTCTTATGTATAAGTTGGTATTACATGTTGTATTTTACTTATCCCACAGCAGCCTTCCGGCTCAGTTATCTATGATAGTATGACATGAAAAGATACGTTACGTTAATACTAGGTTGAGTAAGGTACTGGGTGCCCGTCGCGACCCATCGGTTTGGGTCGTGACAAAAAAAATCAAAAAATTAAAAAAATAGTATCAATGTTTGATCGAATACACTTACGTTCATGCTTTGTTTCTCAGTTTTCAAATTTCATTGGTATGAGCATTTGAAAATGCGACTAGGTTCATTGGTGGAATTGAGAATCGCTGATCCCCTGCTGAATTGAAGAGTTTTAGTGCTTAAAACTTTCCTTGATCATTCTACTGATTAGGATCTTTGGTGGGTCAAATTCGTGGCTTGAAATTGTCAAAGTTGTTGGGAGAGTTTGGTATTGAAAGTCGAAATTGTTGATTGGAACCTACTTATTGTTATTATTTGAAGCAAAGTTTAGCTACTGTCTTGGTTGCTCGAAAATGCAAGGAACAAAGTTGTCCGGCATTGAAGCTAAGCTTCGAAGGTTGTCAAAATTTTCAAATCTGAAATTTTATAGAGTATTAAGTGATTGTGAATGTTTATTTATGTCTAAATTTGTAATTTCCAACTGATTTGGACTGATTTTCTTGTAGCAATAGCTAAAAGTTTCATTGCAATCATTGATACGACTCTTCTTTCTTTGAAAACCCCTAATTTGAAGAAGAGGCACTTAGAAAAGAAAGAATAAGAGTCAAGGGCGTGGAGGTTTCCCTTTTTCAATTGATTTTGGGTTCGGGGTGGTTTAGTCCGGAAATGGGTATATATGGGTTGGTCTTCTTAATGGGGACAAGTGTTTTAAATTCGACGAATGTGAAGTTGCCACATCATTATTAAATAAATCTTTTTTGGGAGGAAATGGCCGGTAGTCATAAGGGTAGACTTGAGTCGACAAGAAAACTTTGGGGGCAATTTTAGCCCAATAGGTGAACGTAGGGTATTTTTGACCCTAAGCTTATAGTTCGAGGATAGTTTTGGCAATTTTTTATATAAGAAAAATGAATCATACATAGTTTGATTGAGTAATAATTTAATAATAATAATATTATCCACCATCGGATGTAAAGATCGATTCTTATTGGTCTATTTTTTATTTTATTTTTTTCTTATTTCAAGCTTCAAATAATTAGTAGCACCGATAAAATTCAAATAATCTAGTAGTATCATGAAAGATTTATTTCCACAACCCCCTCCCCCTTCCGGGATGGAATAAAATTTTTTAGATAATAACTCGTTTAACATCTTCTTCTTTTTCCCTCAATAAAGTGAGTTTAGATTTAGAAAAATAATGATTTTGGTCTTCTAGATATTGTGTTAATCTAATTTTGATCCTTCTTTTGTTCAACTTAACACGTTTTACTTTTAATCATACTATATTATAAGTGTGAAGACTTTTAGGTAAAGTTAATTTGCTAAAATGCCCATAAAAAGCTGAATTGCTATTTTACCCCTCACTTAAACACAATTTCTTTAATATTTTTGTACAAAAAATCTACCTTTTAATAAATGATAAATTAAGTTGTACAATAATGAATCTGGTAAATGGGTATAGAAATGGGTGGAATAATTTTCTTACAACAGCCACTTAGCAGCCTATTCAATGCCTTAGAATTGTTTCTCATCTTCCTGTACCTATTCAATGTTTGGAAATTCTTTTCAACTTCCACGACTAATTTTTTTAAAACTTACGGATTGCCAAACTATTGAACTTTTGAAGTTCTCTTCGGGAAGTGTTGATATCCATTCTTCTTCTTCATCATCATTATTCATCTTCTCTGTTATGCGTCTATGTCATAGATTTTAGTGATATTGGCATATTGCTCATGCATCAACTCTCCTAACCATCTAAGTAAGCAATTATTTCTACCATAAGTTTAAGTTTCGATTCTTGCAATGCATAGGCCTGCTCCAAAATGATGTGTTAACAACTATTTTTTTTTTACAATATAGATCTGGTACATGAAAATTGAAAGGATGCATATTTGTTGCTTTTTTAGGTCTCATTGTTGGAAAAAGTACTACAATATTACCTCTCTTTTTTGTGTGTATTCATTTATTTTTATTTCTCTAGTGATTTTTATTTCTAACTTGAAGATTCTTTTTTAAATTGAAATTATTTGAGGTAGCTACTTCTGCTTCGTATTTATTAAATCATCTTTAGATATTCTAAAACAACAGAAGCATCTATATATAATTATTTATAAATTTATGTGAAGATAGGATTCTAATATATGTTGGAAATTATACTCTTTTATATATGTTAAAGGAAAATATTAATTATTGCAGTGATTTGGTAATGATAACATGTGCAAATGCTTAATGTGTTTAACATTTGAATAACTTTTATTTGTATTTAATTTTATTCTTTATTATAGAATCTAGGTAGGTTAGTCTATACCAATCATTACAATCGTAATGAAGTAGTACTATTGGGTGACAAAGAACTAAGAGCTAGAACTCTTCAGTCATGGTTCTCATGCTTTGGTCGTTTTAGTAGAAAAAATTGAGGTTGCAAGAACTCTAAGAGCTGACCTCAATAGTTACCTTTTTAATGGCCTTGAGGTAAATACAAATAATTCTTGAAAGAACAATTTTATTGTCTTGATATGCATAAGCTTTCGAAAAATTCTCACAGCATAATACGTGTCACATATGTACAAACTTGAATTGAAAATTACATAAACTTCATGAGTTTTGGTCATGGTATACCAGTTGAAACGTGAGAATGAAACATATATCAAAAACATCATTTCAAAATAAAATATTAGGTGTGAGATACGATTGTATCATATGTTTGGACCTAATAACATCAAAATTAATTCATTACACATTATTTCACTGTATTTACAGACCTCAACTTCACAGGTTTAGAAGATGTCAAATAATGTTGCATTAAAATTTTGTGTTACTCATCACACTCATGCATACTTCAATACAATAAAGTTATTTTAAAAAGTGTTGATGTGGGATACACATACAACGTACGTGTCTAGAAACTAGTTAGATTAAATATGTGATTCTTCAATTAAACCAAACATGTGATTTAGTCCTTACAACTATAACAATGTTATATGATGGAAACCAAAACTGCTATATTTTCAAATGAGGAAGGAAAAAAGGCATAACATCCTAAATAAATGGTATGGGGTAGAGTGTTAGTCGGTCAAGAGCATCCATATCCAGAAGATGAAGGTAGCAAATATGAGAATGTTGAGATGGATATGCGGGCACACCATGTTAGATAGGCTTAGGAATGAGGTTATTCACGATAAGGTGGGTGTGGCTCCTATTGAGGATAAGATGCGGGAAGCGAGGTTTAGGTGGTTTGGACATGTGAAGAGGAGAAGCACAGACGCCCCGGTGAAGAGGTGCGAGAGGTTGACATTGGAAGACCTAAAGAGGGGTAGAGATAGGCCGAAGAAGAAGTGGAGAAAAAAGATTAGGCAAGACATGACACAACTTCAGCTAACCAAGAACATGATCGTTGATAGGAAAGTGTGGATGTCGAGGAGTAGGGTAGTAGGATATGTGGTCTGGATTGTTTATACCGGTAGTATTAGTACGTACTCTAGCATTCTGTTGGTATTAGTTTCTATGACTACATGTTGTTTCTTTCATTTTGGTCATCTTAATATCTTGTTGTATTTTATGTTATTTTTATATGGCTTTTTGGTGTTGTCCTTTCTTGTCTGTCTTTTCATTAATGTGATGCTTATGTTTTTTTGAGTCGAGGGTCTATTGGAAATAATATCTCTATTTTCACAAGATAGGAATAAAGATTTGCATACACATTATCTTAGTACACTCCCCGGACCATACTATGTGGGGTTATACCGGGTATGTTGTTGTTGTTAAATAAATGGTATTATGACCCATAGGTATAAAAACTCTAGCAGAAATCTTGAAAAATGACACATTTAATATTTTAACCTCACAAAAAATGTCCTCTTCCCTCTACCGCCGTCTCCATAATGTCTTCACCAACACCGCTAAATCTCAAGTCCTTACAGCCATCACCGACGCCAAACCCAAAGTTCCTCCACCCTTCAACCCAATCAGTGAACCCGAATCCTCCAAAGAACAGAAATTTCGGCCACTGATTCGTAAATTTAAGCATTTGTCAAAAGATCCCAGATTCCGCCGCAGGCATGTAAATTATGAATCTTTCGTACGACGACTCAGCCGAACTCAACAGTTCTCAGCTATTGAAGATATCCTCGAGCACCAAAAAATTTACCCAGAAATAGAAGATGAGGGTTTCGTTGTACGACTCATTTCCTTATATGGGAAAGCTGGTATGTTCGAGCAAGCCCGGAAACTGTTCGACGAAATGCCTGAGTTAAACTGTGATCGTACAATCATATCATTCAATGCTCTATTGGCAGCTTGTGTTAACTCGAAGAAATATGATAAAATTAGTGAGATTTTCAGGGAATTACCTGGGAAATTAGCTATTGAGCCAGATGTTATTTCGTATAATACGGTGATCAAGGCATTATGCGAGATGGGTTCGTTGCATTCCGCAGTTTTAGTAATGAAGGAGATGGGAAAAAATGGAATTGACACTGATGTTGTTACTTTCAATACGCTTTTAGATGCGTTTCACAAGAATAATATGTCTTCTGAAGCTGAAAAAATGTGGACTTTGATGGAAAAGAAGAATGTGATTTCGGATGTTAGGAGTTATAACTCGCGAATACGTTGGTTGGTAGAAAACAATCAGGTAGTAGAGGCTGAGGAATTGTTTGAGGAGATGAAGAAAAGGGGAGTAAATCCTGATACATACAGTCATAATTCCATGATTAAAGCTTGTGCAAAGGATGGCAATTTGGAATTGGCTAAAAGCTGGTATGTTAAGTTGGAGGAAAACGATTGTGTTCCTAATCGTCCCACATTCGAGTTACTTATTACGCTGGCATGTGATAAAGATGATCCTGATTCTGCTTATGACTTGTGCAAGAAGTGTATTAATTTGAAACTAAATGTTTTTACTGGTACAATCCAACGGGTGGTTGATGCGTTGGTTGATCACTCGATGATCGAAGAAGCAAAGGAGCTTCTGGAGATAGGAAAGAACTGTCCTTTCCGTTATAAGCTGTCAATGCCAAACGATCTCCAGTAATATCACATCTCTGTTATCTCGAGTTGTTTGTCTCTACTCTCTACTGATTTGGGTTATGATTTAACAAGTTTCTAATTTCCTTGAGTGAGACATTCGTGATCGAAGAAGTAGAATATCTTGTGGAGTTAGGGAATTAGATGCCACCATTATAAGCTGGAAAAGGGAATAAATGCCCAGCAATACAATATTTCTGTCAATGTTTGATCGGTATATGTTTCCTCCATTGATTCGGGTTGCACTATATCATGAGCTTTTTTTCAATCATGAGACACCACCTATTCCAGCATTGATTTGAGTTGTGCAATATGTAAGTACTTTTTTTTTTCCAATTGAGACACCACCTATTCCAGCATTAATTGGCACTTTCAATTGCCAGCTAATTAAAAAGATTAATTTTGGTGTTGCAAAAGGGTTCGTGAATATGTGCAATTCTGACATGTGTTTTACTTTAATTCCCAATGGAAGCTTATCTTAAGCTGAACTTTATTTGCGCAGTACTATTTTGCTAAGGCAGGACATTACCCATTTTCTTCTGTTGGACACAAAATTGAAATAAAGAAGAATAAGTGCAGTTTTTCCTGTTTCTTGAATCCAAAATTATCATACAGACCAAACTGGTTTGCATCCATCTTCTAGGATTGGAATCAGAACACGGACACTTATTTTTAGAGGAACTTCCTATCTCAAAGATTACGACAAAGGTTAAATACTAAATTGTATTTAGAGCAGGAAGTTGTTGACCCATAAAATCAAACTTGTAGATAGGGCAGCAGCATCGATCAAACCATGATCCAAAGATAATCGTTCTTAGCAAACAATTACCAGTGTAGGAGAGAGGAGATATGATGAGATAGGAACCCAAAGGAATAGAAAGGGACATGTTTAACATTACGCAACACAGTAAAATACAGTGATTAGCACACTTGGTTCATATGATTTAGGCATACTTTGGGCATGCAAAAAAGAAAAGCCTTATTATTGTCGTAGGCGATACATGCATAATACAAATTATACAATTAGGATGAGTGATTCATATATCAAACTATACACGTTATATCTTGCCATAGCTTTGTAAAGACACATGCATTTACATGGGAAAGAATGGAATAATGCAATTAACAAACTATCTGGGATGAAACTATCATTTTTGGTTTATTTCAAAAGCCTTTACTAAAGCTTATGTTTTGAGACACAAATAAATGTAACTGGGACATACTAATTACTTTTGAAAAGGTAATCCACTTTGCTAAAATGAAGATCCAATGATTCAAAATGAACTAATATTAAAAGTTCCTTTTAAAAAATTCTTCAATGTCTTATTAGAACGAATACATTTTGGCCGGTGATCGAACTTCCGTTCTCTTGCAAAATGTCTGTATACGGGTAAAACCGGGGCTAATGAGCACCCCGATTTCCCGGTGAGTCAAACAAAGTAAGGACATAACTACATGAAATCAGAATCGAAGCTGGGAACTTCTCGTACTAAGGCCCGAACGGAGTGCTTGCCACCGAGCCCGACAAGACAACACCCCCAGAACCCAGTATGAGCTCCAAGACCTCGAAAAGCACTACAAACGGTTGCACACGACTAACAAAGGGCCGTGATATCCGCACCCAACCGGATATTATGGCGCGGATCTCGCCTGATGTCGGTAGCATATCAGTAATTGATGTAAAAATGGATTATTTTTTTTTTTTTTTTACCTTTTTTAGAATTGTACTAGGGGTAAAACTCCCTTACTATATAAAGGAGAAGTTTCTTATTCAATGGAGATACAGTAACATACATATCAAGGTAATACAAACGTGTTTCTCTGCTTTCTAGTTATTGAAAAGTTCTTATTTTAATCATAGTTTTTCATACGCAATTGGCCCCGAATCGAGGGTCTGGTCGAGGGCAGAACTGTTATTAAGCTTAAATTTGACCCCGGATTCTACATCACAACTGGTTTGGTTATCCACATTACCTTTTGAAATCAGGTTTTGGGAACGGTTACGAATTGTTTAGAAATTTAGTTGCTAAAAATATTTATCATTTACTCTATGAGTTCTATCCTTGCTGTTTCATTAAAGAAATTTTGATTTCAAAAATACTAAATGTGTAATTAAGTGAAGTTTGTATTATTGGCTTGCCTGACAGTGGTGTTCAGCGCCATCACGACCTTTAGGTGAGATTGGGTCGTGACAACATGGTATCAGAGCACTAGGTTCACTTTGGTCTTACGAGTCATGAGCAAGTCTAGTAGAGTCTTGCGGATCGGTACAGAGACGTCTGTGCTTATCTTCGAGAGGCTACATGGCTGTTAGGAGCATTTCCCTTCTTGATTCTTCATCGTGAGATTCGATTCCTTTGAGGCTTATGCCTTCATTTCCTTCATATTCAATCCTATGCGGCGTGAAACGCTTGTTATAAATTGGGGATTGAGAAAATTTTTAATGGAACTATAGATGTAGTGCATGATGCTTCTCCCTGCATATTTAATTGGGCTATTGTCGTCGCCATGCGGAAGGCCGCTCTGTTGTTTCAGTCCAGTATCAGTACTACCTAAGGTTTTGAGATTTGACATTGATTGTTATGACAATCCGTGTTTTGTTATCGCACAATGTTTATGTAATGGTAGAATGCCTGTTTATGTGTCAGGGTAGTAAACGACTTGAGAGAAGGTTTTTCTCAGTACATGATTCAGAGGTCCAATATTTTATTTCCAGTAAAGAAAAGGTAATCGTACTATGAATGTTTAGGTTTGGGGTTGATGGAGTAATGAAACTTGATATTTCCGAGCGTGGTGGAATTTTTCATCTGTGATATGTTAACGTCGTCCGTGATTGAATATGTTAGGTTCGTCGGTGATATGATCTCCTTTGATTTTTCCTTTGGGGCAGGATATTATGAAATGAGGCCGGGAAAACGGCTGTAAGAGACCGCGAGGTGCAGTGGTTCCAGACCGAAGCAGTGTTTCTAGTATTGACGGCTCTAGAAAGATGATCTTCCAGGAGGATTAAGGCTGGTAGCAATTTGTTAGTTCAGGTGTTACAAAAATGGATGTTGATTTAATGCAATATTTGGGCAGCGAAGGATGAGGAAGGACATGTGGAAGGTGTCTTGTGGTGGTTAGGTTCCTAAAAGGCCAAGTGTGAGAAACAGAAGTCGAGTAGTTGCTTAAAGGAGATGGTTTGACCAAAGTGGGAGAGTGGCAAAGTAGCATATGGGTTATGGGGTAGGATAACTACATGGCTTGAGGAAAGTTTGAAGTGATTGAGGATTCATGATGGACAGTAACTAGGTCTACAGACTTAAGTTGTAATATTGGCTGCTATATTGAGGAAGATTGGGCGTGATAGGAGAGAGTTGTTTAATATGAAGAGGGATGCAACATGACTTTGGATTGGGATGTATGGTTGCACCTTTGGTTGATGTCAACGGGGAGTGAATCGACTGGTACAGCTGGTGAACGAGCATAAGCTCAGGATGGTTTATCGGTTTTGAACTAATAGTACTCGGTGCAGCATTGTTAGAGGATGTCAGCATGGAATTTCCACAGGTGGGATATCTCCTGTGAGCAGATTAACGATTGAGTGGTGTTGATGGAGCCTCTAAGAAGGATTTTACTTGTTACCCGGAAAAAGGTCGAATAAGTGATTGTGACTGATGGTTCAGAATGTTTGGGGAAATCTTAACAAAAGAATTTTGAGAATTTGGCGGATAACAGCGCGAGATCATGGTAAATGAGGAGGGGGAATAGTTGTGGGCTCGATATTATGTAATTGTAGCTTCAAGCTAAGTGGGAGAGCCCCACCGTCTACAATTGGATTGCATGGTTGTATATTTGTGAGGTTTCTAGTTATCGGTATATTGGTGGGTCATTTCAACCAAGGAAAGAAAACATCAGTGGTAATTTGAGCAAAGGATTTGGGGGAATGTGTTCCATATTTGGCCTTATCGATTCATGTTCAGGTTTTGGGAAGACTCAGAGTTTATGTTTCATGTAGATGTAATGCACAGGGGAAGTGAGACAGTCGGGTGTTTCCTTGATAAAGTGTCCATGTGTTAACAAGGCCTTGGAGTTGATCATGTTTGGGAACAAGTCAGAGCAAGTGACTCTCAATAACGGTTGTAGTGGGTTCAAAAATTTAAGTACGATGTCTAAGGATCTCGAGTCCGAAGTATGGTTGAGTATCGAGCTTTTGCAGCAGATTATAAAACGGGGCTTGGAGTACTTTGCGTTTTCTTCAGGTTGTAGTGTAGCAGTAGAAAAACGGAAGTAAATAACCTCGGATTCATAAAAGAAGTATCAGAATGGGTGTACAGTTGAAGATGTAAAAGTGGGCACAAGGAGGAGTATGTGATGATTCAAGGATTTTGAAACTGCGTTGTCTCGTGAAATAAGGTCACTCGGGATGAGTGCGGATTTGAATTCGTTATGTAATGAATGGGACTATTATCATTTCTAAGGCAAGTTGAGAATAAATTGAGAAAAGACGGGTCAGCTAACAATGGTTGAATTGGCATGATGGTGGCAATGATCAGTTCCTTCAGAGCATTGAGTTATGCATGTGATTGTGGCGGTACGTGTGAGGTTTGACGGCCGTCGTAATTGATTGTATTTGGAGGAATTCAAGTATTATGTCATGTTATGTGTAGATGGATCCCGGGAGAGTTATGGTGGTTTAGACCATTACTTGAAGAGTTTATTTCCTGAGGATATGGGAATTCAGTCGCGTGTTGCAATGGTTCTCCTAAATTGAGTTAAGAAAAAGGTTGTTATATGATGAAGTGTTGGGTCTGTTAGTGGTTCAAGAGTTATGATGGAAATTTTGTACTCTCGAGTATTGGCATGCTGAGTACAGTGAACGACATGGGAATTTGGAAGTTAAGGATCGAGGTTGCAGTTCGGTTTTGACAAGAGTGTTATAAGCTCGGACGAGCAAAAAAGGATTTAGAGGTTTAAAGCAAGCTGGTATTGTCTTCAATGTCACCTGAGATCGGTGTTATGTGTAAG